TGCACAGTCAAGGGGCAGTGGGTCAGGCCCTATAAAGAGACACTGAAGGGCCTGAATCTATTCAGCCTCCAGAAGAGAAGGGGTTACTAGGAATAATGGCCACAAATTGCTAGAGAGAAGGTCCAGGCTTGATATCAGGAGACATTACTTTACAGTTAGGGCTGCCAGGTTCTGGAATGGACTCCCAAGGGAGGTGGTGCTCTCTCCTACCTTGGGGGTCTTCAAGAGGAGGCTGGACAGATATTTGGCTGGGGTGTTATGACCTCCCACTCGTTGCTGCCCAGGGTAGGGGGTCAGACCTGATAATCTGTTTAGGTCCCTTCCCACCCTAAGCACTAAGAAACTATGACAGTTTTAATGGTGAATAGAAATGTTCACAAAACTTCACAGATTTCTCCTCCACCATCTCTAGTTCTGTTGCCGTATTCCACCTAGTTCTTCAGAATTCTCTAGTTCACTGACATTTTGCCAGCTGCTGTCAGTGTTGACTAAGTAAAAGTCCCAGGAGGAGATTTTTGCTTTGGTTGTTTGGAGACCTCCCTGTAGTCCTTTTGACTGTCATCATACACCTGTCACACATAGTTGCTCAGTAGTTCAACAGCACTCATTAGTGTAACCCATCAGTTCTAAAGCAAGACATTTCCTAGAGGGCAAGCCTTGGAGCAAGTAGGCAGTGGCCATGGGCTGCTAATTCAAGCATGTGGTCTCAAACTTAGAGCAGAACATCCACCCACTTTGTAAAAATCTACATTTTTCTTAAGGAAGGGGAAGAATTTGCCCTCCAAGTTGGGAAGGCCCCTTAAGTCATACTCACTTGAGTGTGTTGTTCCTGAAAGGGTAAATATATTCTCCATCACCAGTGTCACAGAGAGGCCCATCAATCAATCCCATGGAGGAGATAGTCACACAGTAGGCCCCTCCGGCAACACCCAACACAGCCAGAAACACAGAGAGCAGCATCTGAAAGGAAGATTACCTTCAGCATCATACGTGTGGATAAACAGAGTACTTTGGACACCCTAAAATATGAATAGATTGGTCGTGAAGGGTTGAATGCACCTGATCTTATCTGATCTTGGAGCTCAGTAGTGCTCTGCCTGGCTAATAACTAAGATACCATGTTGGTATCTGTTGGTATAAACCAAGGAGCCCTGGTTGAACACTCAGTGGGCATGTCTACACATGCATTTTAATGTGCAGTAGCCTATTTAACTCCATTAAAGCGTCATGTAAAAAAACGTGTGATTATGCTAAAGGAAGGTAAAATAATAATAATAATACTGTGCATTAAGCATCACTTTAAAACAGTGTGCATTGTTTACTGCACATTAAGGCAGCCTATTGCACATTTATTTAGTACCTCACATTGGTGGTACTAAATTTAACGCGCATTAGGAAAAATACCTTAATGCACATGTAGATGTGCCCAATACAGGCTAAACTATAGGAACCAAATGAGTTACAAGACTTTGACTGCAGTTTTGCTGATGGGAAGGACTGTAAGGAAAGGAAGACTGGGTGTATCTATGCATTCATTAGTGTGCTATTATTACTGCACATTAAGTTTAGTACCTGTAATAAGGTACTAACTCAATGGGTCTATCTACATGTTCGTTAATGTGCCATAATTATGATGCATCAAGTTTAGTACCTGCAATGACATGTATTAACTTAATGTACCATAATCAGCACTACTGTGCATTAGCACAGATGAACATTTTTTGTATGACGTTATTGCGAATTAGGTTAAATCTACTGTGCATAAGCACAGGCTTTGCCCACCGTGCTAATGAAAAGTAGAATTAGTCTACTGCACTTGAAGCATCTTGTGTAAACATGCCCAATGTGCAGTAACCAGCATTACTGTGCAGCAGTGCCAACACATGGTTTTTTGTAACACTAATGTACAATAGACTAATTCTATTGTGCATTAGTGCATTAACATGGCTTTTGCCATGATGCACTAATGCACAATAGAATTAATCTACTGATGCCCATGTAGCTTCTCATGTAGACATGCCCACTGTAAATAGGAAAGGAATGTCTTTACATCTTTAATCCTATGAGCAGTAATCAGCTAGGAGAGATATTGGGTCTGATTCATTTCTGTGGGAATATGAAGCTTTTGAAACTTTCTAAATCTGGTGAAACTACCCCATAGAGCCATGAGGGGCCTGATCCTTGTTGCTGGCAGCAGGTGTATGTGGGCCTCTGGGTGGACAGTAGGGGAGGAGCCGGGGTTGCACTGCCCTGGCACCTTCCCTGTCCTGCACCCCAAGGGGTGTGTGCAGTTGCCAACATCATGGAGCCAGTGCCAGGGATCTGGAGCCCGGTGCAGCTGTTTGCAGCCTGCCCATTGCCTGCTGCAGCTGCCCAGATCCTGGGCTGGCTGTGACGTGCTGAGCAAAATGGCTTCATATGCCATGCTCTGGCACACATCCTGCAGATTGCCAACCCCTGATCCAAGTGTCTTGGCATTATACACAAATTACTACAGCTAAGTTTAATTTCAACATCAGCATTTTCTTATTTTTATGTGCTCATGCAGAGCAGGGTTTGACAATAAAAGGGGACAGGGGCCCCAAAGAAAAAAACTGGGGACATAAGGAAAAGGGACAGGGGTCCCAAAGAAAAAAACTGCAGGGCATGGGGAGCAAGGCATGTGTAAGGCATTTATCTGTCCCTGTGGATTTATTTTCCCTGCTGTAGCTGTGGAAGGGGGACAAATTCAAGGCAAACCTCCAATAATTAGATTCTATATCTGGAAAATTATAACAAATTTATAAATTTTCCATATATAGAAGCTATTTAATAGGCAGGGCAATACAGTGTATTTTAGCGCTTTTCTCACTTATATCTTTGTGGTGAGCATGTTTCTGGAGGTTAACACCAACTGTTGAAAGACATCAAGGCTCTCCTTGGCAATTAGTTTCCAAAATCTTCATACCCACTTCCATAATGAAAGATTAAGCAGGCACTTAATGAAGTTAAATGCAAGAATTTTAAATGAAGTAAAGAAATAATTAGTTGAGGCAACATATGATTAGGCTGTGGAAATCACTGCAAATTGAAAAGAGGAACATAAATAAAAACATGAGACATACATAAGCACATCTTACATCATTATCATTTGCTATTTGTTATTGCAGGAGCACTCAGTGCCCCAGCAAGAATCAAGGCTCATTGCACGTGTCTACACATGTATTTATGTGCGCCTAAATTTATGTGTGCAACTGCACATGGATGCACTAATGCACATTAAATTTAGATGCGAATAGCTAAGTCACATTACCACATGTGCAGATGCGCTAATGCATATTAATGCAATGTCTATCCATTGATGCCCATCGCATTAATGCGCATAAGCACATCTACACATTCACTAATGTGACTTAGCTATTCGCACATAAATTTGATATGTTTTACGCAGGTATCAAATTTAGGCTCTAATAGCCTAAAATTGCCATTTTTAAGGTGCATTGGGGCATCCATGTGTGACTTGTGCCCTTAATGCTCCTTAAATTGGGCTAATGTGCATTCAATGCACATGTGTAGACATGTCCATTGAGTAGGTGCTGTACAAGCACATCCTTAACCCAAAGGGCTTTGGTGTGTCTATATATTGTGCTTTTTAAACTAGTCATCTTTAACCCTATCAATTGATTAGTCTTTTAGTCTTTTTTTTTCCATTTGTGAATCATGTGGGAACATTTGTCAAAGAGCCTAGCAACCTTTGTGTCTTCCTTGACACCATCCCACTCTGAATAGGAGGACTTCCCCGTAAAAATGATCTGCTTTCATATCCCATGTGTTCTGATGTCTATAAATCACTCCACAGTGCCTAAGCAGTTGGGGCTTACACACTACTTAATGCCTCACTACTTGCTGGTGATTCTCTCAGTTGGTCTAATCCTTTTAGATGTATCCAGTCTTTACTTAAAGACAATTGCCCACCTTCCTGCATCAGCTATTCCGAAGGTTACTCCATCTCAGTGTAAATGTGGCTTTATTCCTAACTTGAACTTGCATGGCTGCAGCTTCTAGCCACTGGATTTCCCTACATCTCCCTCTGTAAAGAGTTACCTCCTACCCGACTTTTCTTTCACATACAAGTGTTCATATTGTGCTCACTAGCTATTGTTGTAGTCATCTGTTTCTGTTGTCTTTTACACTTTATGTGCATTGACAGCATGCAGCAGAATAGAGGTCTGAACCTGAATTGAGGTGTTTGACACTACTGCAATACAGTAAAGTTTAAGTGTACATGCATCATCTACCACAGTAGCAGGACAGTGAAGACAGGACCCTTGGGAGCCAAGCCCAGACCCAGGGCTGGTTTGGATACAGAGGTAGAGCAGCACATGGCAGGGCAGTGTGAAGTCAAGCATGCCAGCCAGATGCATACTATTGAGGAGGATCAAGGAAGTCAGGAGTGGGAGCAGGGTTCGAATTACAGGGGAGTTTGTGGGGGCTGAGCCCCCCCCTTAAGAGACAAGAGCCCCTCTGTAAGATTTGAATCATAAGCTGGGGGGGTCTCTGATTTTATTAGGGTATTGTGATGGACAGCCCAATTTTTTTGAACACCCAGATGGCATGTTTACAGAGGAAGTAAGGAACTGGAAGGAAGTCTGAGAGTCTGAGAGTCTGGGTTTTTTTTGCAAACCCAGATGGCATGTCTACAGAGGAAGTGAGGAACTGGGAGGGAATCTGAGAGTCTGTCTGGTGATGATGGACTGCAAAAACATCCAACAACTGCTCATACTGTAGCTGTAGCTGTGAAGTTCAAAGTGTTGTAAAATCAGAGTTGCTGCAGCCTATTGGATACAGCACTGCCCTGGGCCTCCGGAGACCCAGGTTCTGTTCTGCTCTCCTGACTGTGAGCAAGCCCCCTCATCTCTGTGTCCTGGTTTCATGTACAAAATGTTCAGTCACTGAGGTAGCACTACCTGAGAACTGGGTATTATCCTTAACTAGTTAATTTCAGTAAAGCACTTGGTATAGGTAAAGAGGGTATTATGGTTAGTATTAAACATTAACTGGAACAAAAAGATGGAACATTATAGCACAGTATCACTAATTAGAGGCTTCTGCTACCAAGGAGCTAGCATGGAAAAACATAACTATGTCAATATATCCTTGCTAATGACAACTGCTGCGGATCAGAAACAGTGAACTCTGAGCAGGGCATGGAAATTAATTGGGATACAATATGTTTCCTGGGTAACCTTTTTAATCAACGAGGACAAATTCTCTGTAGCCAGGGTGTGGGTGGGACAGAGCACAAAGGAGTCTTTCCACATCTTGTGTGTATCTAGGGAGTGTGTGATACAGGTCTCCCTCTGTCTCTGATATAGCCCCCGACAGAGGGGCTACATCAGTGGTGGCCAAACTTTTTCAGCTGGTATGCTACAAGTTAAGCCCCACTGCCACCCCCACCCAGAATTGGTCTGATA